CTTCTATAGAACCACCACAATCCGGAGACAAACTTCGCAGTTCTGTTTCAATTCCAGATGGGCCTAATTCTTTCAGAAGGTTAAAAGCAGTTTCATCTGCATTAAGTTTTAATAAGAATCCAGTTATTACCTACAATCATTTCATTTAGGAAACTAGTTTTCATTTCAAACCCCAAGCAACATGTACTTAAAATGCACAGGAAATTTCCTGTGGCTTAAATTACTGAAAATGCAACAACAACAACAACAACAAATTTAACTTTTTTTCCTATTAAGACTGTTAAAGAAAATCTAATTAATGCCAAGCATCAGCCATTTTAAGATGCTCATAAATCAGTAAGAATAAATCCAAATAAAAGAAGGCTATAGAGGTATATGCCAAGTTATTAACAGCAGTTGCCACTGGGAATAAGATGAGGTGGGGAAATTTATTTTTCTTTCTTTCTATTGTTACAAAAATTATGAAAATATCACATGATCAGTAAGAAACACTAACAATACAGAAATATATGAGGGGAAAGACTCCACATTATTCTTTCCCACTCCAAATCTACTTCTTTTCCCTAGAGGTAAGCACTCTTATTTCATACGTATCCTATGAAAATGTATTCTATATACTTACAACTATTTTATAAGAGGCATTTTTTATTACAATGGCAATGATTATGCTTTCAGTTTTTTGAAAAGGAACACCACCAATGACAAAAGTCTAATACATCTTATTTTCTGCTCTGCGGTACATACTAAATAATAGTGTTTTTCTTCTTTGTTCCTTCATAAACATATTACTCCTTTTATGATCCTGCTATTCTTTACCACCTACAATGATCCATCAGTACCATTCTTTGACTTCTGCCAATGTGTACTCGAGTGATACTGGTATGAAAACAAAAGCATGTGGGTCAGAAACTAAGAAGGTAAGTCAAACAGGCTGTGATTTTGTTAACTGCTCATAGCTCTTGTTTATCATTATTAGCTAGACTGTAGCTGTCAAAATTTAAATCTATTAACATTTAATAAATACATTTTAAAATTGCCTTTTTATGAGATAATTTGGTAATATCTGAAATTACCTAAGACAAAAGTCTCCTCTGTATTGCAAACTATACTGAAAATCAGATTTGTAAGTAAAAACAAAAGCAAAAAAAAAAATCCAATTTTCCATAAAGAATGAAATGTTCTCAAAAGATTACTATATAATTTCAATATCATCTGAGTTTAGTGTCACTCCTTTAATACAACACAAAGCTAAAATTACTTCAGATTAAAACCAAAATTTCAATCCTTCTGGTTTTTACTTTCAGCTACTGAGAAACCTGCTAATATTTCATCCAATTTCTCTTCATATAAAGTAAAATAAGCTAACAATATTTGGTAAAAATATTTTATAATTTAACTTACATTTATTATCTACCAGTCCTTCTTCAAGTTTCAAGCAGAAATCTGATTTTTGAGCCAAAATTCCAAGATTTACCACTTTAGACTTAAACAAAAACAAATATACATTATTCAAAAACCACAAATATAACAAAAATTATAGTTTCTAATTAAAAGCTATTATTAATTTCCTCTATGTCTGTAAACTTGGGTCTTGGTTAAGAACTACAAATGTACAACACAAAACAACACACCCCATGTACTTAAAATGCTCCAATTTAGTTTTTACCTGTTGAGGATCATTATTTTGTTCAGGTGCAGCATATCTGGGTACAAGGCCAGGAATTGTTGGAATAAAAAATGGTGCTGATTTGGGTACTTTGGGTGGTTCCTTTGGTTTATTCTTTTTCTAATTGAGAGAAAATGAGAAAAGGAAAAAAGACTAGTAAATAATTATGTCGCCAAAAGTTTCTAACACTTAATTCCAACTTAATTTTTTAACTCCCAAAAGTAAAAAAATTGAAACTCCTTCAGATTAAGATACTAAAATAAAATCCCAACCAATACATCTTAAGCTGGGCTTCCTAATGCAGACCTCCAGTACCCTTGCTGATAAGGCAGAAGGAAAATGACAGGGTTCAGGAGAAGCTCTAAGACAAACAGAACTCATTTTCCTGAAACATTATATTTACATGATTATTTAGGTGAAGAAATAACAATCAAGTAATTTTGAATTTCCTTTACATTGAAATACAACCCTTTTCACAAAATGGGCTAGAATGCAAAATTTATATGAATGCTCAACAATTTTTTAAGAAAAGAAATTTGAAGCCAGAGGTAGACTCTGCCATTAGAAGTAATTTGGTTAAATTTTTTTATTTTGGGAAGCATGGCTCTAATTCTTCTATTTTGTTGGAATTTTTATTTATTTTTCCTTAGTACTTTGTGTTTTTAAAAAGCAAGAGAATCCTATCACTCATTTATAAAATATTTCAAGTGTTACCAAAATTCTAACAGGAAAATCTCCCTTGAAATTCACACTGACAGAATTTAGTTTTGCTGACTACATTGTTACATATCACTATTTTGGAAGTATTTGATAAGAGAGACTTTCTATGGTAAACTGCCTAATAAAGGAGCCTCACAAGTTTACTTACGCTATCTCTTCCATTCTTTAGGAACTCTACAGAGATTTGCTTTTTGAAAGAAAGCCGGGATACTTGTGGCCGCATGGAGGCACAGCATAAAAGTTACTACACGAAAGCAGGACAAAGTACTGCCAATTACAATGTAAGCACAGGCTTTCTTTGGGATGGTAGAAACTATAGCTAGAGTCACAGTTACCCTTCTAACTCAGAAGGCAGTCACTGAGTTTTGTAAATAAAAGCAAAAGGCTTTAGAGAAGCTCCTTTCTTTTCATAAAACCAAAAGTAGAAAAGTTACGCATTGGACAAATATAAAAATTCTAACTTCTTTCATTCCGAAGGAAATAAAAATATCAGAGGTGTTAGCATATCTCCCTTTAAAGATCATTCACTAAGGTTTCTATATTTTTACGCAGAACAAACTGTATGTTAGCAAAAGGCAGAGTGGTCCCCAAATTTGGCTCAGTTAATTGGGCATTATTCTGATTGCTCCCTCACACTCACCTACCCATACTTTTAAATGAATTGTTTTTAAGCTACTCCATAAAGTACTCTCTTTACAGCTGATGGACTACAAAATATAATAGAGAGATTTCGTAACTATGCTCCTAGACAACATACCTTTATGCTGATGCCCAATCTCTCAGAAAGTGAGTAAGTAAAAAAGCACTTTTAAATTTCTGTGAGTAAAATTAACATGTGAAAACTTCCCTCTTTTTCTTACCCAAGACACACGTATTTTTTCTGGTGCTAAGTTACTAGTTACAAAAATACTTAACACATCTTGTCGTAGTTACGTATGTCAGTGTTCCTTACAATTTTTATAAAAATGCTAGCCCGTAACGTGACTTAGCACATAATAAACCCCTAGTGAATGTGTATATGTGTATATCTAGCTAAATCAAGTTTCATAAAACAACACTCACCCTTATTATCAGAAGATATTCTCTGAAATTTTCTACTCTTGTCTATTCCTTTCAATTGTTTCTGCTACTCACAAATAGGGGTCAAGAGACATGGTTCAAAAAACACTAATTTATGCCATAATTATAATTATCCATTTTTCATGTGAAATTGTAAACTCCTCAAGGACAAAGGGGCTAGCCTTTTTTCACTGCTATTGTCTCAGGACATTAACTAGTATCTAGTACATCTTAACTTGTGTGCCTGGGGCCAACACAGAAAATCTTGTAGCCAACAGAGGAGGGAGTGTGGTATGATAAAGGGTGACTGAAATGTAATTTTAAAAAGACCAATAAAAAGTCTTCTAGTCCCCAAATGCCTAGCAACAGAAACATCACACATTATGGCAGCAATTTTTTTTCTTGCTTCATAAGTTAAACAAGTAATTTATTAGGCTGGGCTTAACACATCTAATTTCTAATGGCTCTGTAGCTACAGGCTGTACTTTTGCTGTATCCAAAGGTCTACTGAGTGCTCTCAAAGTCCACATATAGAGAGAGAAAAAATCTTGTGATGATCGATCACACTGGATTGAACAGCATTCAGCTAAATGGTGTTCTCCTGACTACCTTAGGCATTAACTTCTCCTCCTAAAGCCTTCAAAGTAAGGGAAACTTTACCTACTAATGCTTCTGGAATGTGTCTTTAGGGGCCAATATTAAGTGTACTATTGTATTACCTTAATAATATCAAGATTAAGAAGGTTTTTCCACCGGGATTCAGGAAGGAGTGAAAGAGTCACCAACTGCTCATTCAGCTGTTCTGGGGAGTCATACTCTATCATTTCATCACTTGGTTCTATGGTTTCTTCTGATAACTCTACATCTTAAAAGAAAAAATTTTCAGGTAAAACAAATTAATGCTGAATGAGAGTTTATCACATAAAAGCAACTTATTCATCCTAAACCCATATATTTCATAACATGTTCACTCAGTATAGCCCTGTAAATTCTTTCTATATATTTAGTTCATTTCCTTATTTTCTCATATTAACTACAATTCTCATCACCAGACTCAAGACATTTCTCCTCTGGCATACTATTTGATATCTTGTGAATACCACATTGATTACATTTTTGCATAAATTCATGAAGTCATGCCAAATATTTCATAAGCTAAAAAATACTTTGAATGCACTGAATTTTGCTTTCAGGAGCAATATCCTGAATTATGTTTACTGTATAACATTTCAAAAATTACTTTGCCATTTTGTGATTACCTTGGCTTTGACAAGTACCAGGAAGCATCACTACTGTAGGAACATAATCAGTGGGAAGTGGCCGTAAAGAAACAACTGAATATAGGGAAATATTGGACCTGAGAAATAAAAACATAAGCAATGTTTTAAAAATTATAAAAATAGTTTTTTTCAGAAAAACTCAGTTACTGGTAATAATTTCCACAATCTTGAATTTGGCTACAGATTCTCATGACTTGTAAATTTAAAAAAATATCAAAAATAGATAGTATTAATTTGAAAATGCTTTGGTTCATGTCAGATGACATCACAAGAAAGCTGTGCATAAACATTATTAACAGAGTCTTTATTTTTAATGTAGCACAAAAAAGTACTTATTTGAGAGATGAGCAGTAGATAACACTTTCATAAGGTAATGTAACATCCACATATTCATACTGCTTTGACAAATGGCAACCTTCATATAAAGAAATTATAACTGAAGGAAAGATGGACTTAGAGAGTTAAATCAGGGAGAGAATATGCTGATCAGATCCTTGGGTCTGCTGAACAGTCATGGATTTCCCCTCCTCTAGAATGGTCCTCTAAGTGGCCACGTTTCTGCTACCTGATCCTGTACCATGGCCTTGGACGACTAATTAAGATGTGGACACCTGTCTTAAGGTGGGCTAATCAGATTCTCTTTCGTACACATAATGAATCTGGAATGGAAAATAAAAATTGGTAGTATCAGGTTCTGAGTTATATTACTAGCTACACTATACACCCTTGCTGCTGAGGTACCACAGCTATCATTCTTGTCTTGATTGTTTAAGGTTAATAGATTCCAGGAGATATTCCATTTTGCTTATTAAGGTGGCTAGAGACACAATGCCTATTGTACACTGACTTTACTTTCATACCCTAAAAAGCTAATTATAGAATTTTGTAATCAGAAAAGGAATTCATTTTTCTCTCTTCCTCAGTAAGAGTTAAAAAAAATTAGACATCTGAACTCAGAAAATAGATAAATATTTTTCTAGGCCCAGATAATGGACGATTTATTTTGAACTCTTACATGTTCATGACAGTGGAGCTTGAAGACCACCATAAATATCTTTACATGGTTATGAAAAGTTATGAAAAGCAACTAAAAAGAATCTTAGAAAGCATTTTGCCCACAACTTATTTTATAGATAAAGTAGGCTAAAGTTCAGAGGTGACTGGCCAAGGTCATAAACGGGTTTGGAGTATTGGCAGGAAGACCAGCCCAGCTGGGGATATCCCTTTTCTAACATTTTTCTAACATTTTTTTTTTATTCAAGTATAGTTGATTTAAAATGTTATGTTAGTTTCAGGTGTACAGCAACGCGATTCTGTTATATATATATATATGTATTCTTTTTCAGATTTTTTTCCATTATAGGTTATTATAAGATACTGAATATAGTTCCCTGGGCTACAAAGTAGGTCCTGGTTGCTTATTTATTTTATATATAGTAGTGTGTATTGTATTAATCCCAAACTGCTAATTTATCCCTCCCCACTTCCCCTTTGGTAACCATAGATTGCTTTCTATGTCTGTGAGTGTATTACTGGTCTGTAAATATTATTTCATTTATATCGTTTTTTTGATTCCATATATAAGTGATACCATATGATATTTGTCTTTCTTTGCCTGACTTATTTCAATCAAAATGATAATCTCTAGGTCCACTCATGTGCTGTAAACAGCATTATTTCATTGCTTTTATGGCTGAGTAATACTGTATGGCATATATATGTATCTTCTTTATCCATTTACCTGTTGATGGACATTTAAATTGCTTCTGTATCTTGGCTATTGTAAACAGTGCTGCTATGAATGTTGGGTGCATGTATCTTTTTGAATTGGAGTTTTCTCAATATATGCCCAGGAGTGGGATTGCTGGATCATACAGTAAGTCTACTTTTAGATTTTTAAGTAACCTCTATCCTGTTCTTCACAGTGGCTGTACCATTTTACATTCCCACCAACAGTGCAGGAGGGTTACCTTTTCTCAACACCCTCTCTAGCATTTATTTTTTGTAGACTTTTTGATAATGGACATTCTGACCAGTGTTAACTATGTGACATTTCCACTTCATAAAAAAAAAAAAAAGGCAATGTTAACAACTATGACTGTTTGATAATATCATCTTTCTTCAACTTCTTACCCAAAAGAGAACTGTATGAAAGAACTTACCATAAATAAATTCCAAGGTGGTCCACATGGGAAGTGGCCAGAAAGTCTCCAGTAGGTGACATAGTAACATTAAGAGGAGCTGAGTCCAACAAAAAGCTGTCTATCAGGCTGTAAAAAGAATAAAAAAAAATTTGAAATCTATCAAAAAGGATGTAATTCACAAAATATATGTTTTCTAAAAGAACAAAGGATAAGAGATGCAGGAAATTTTTGGTTTTGTTTTTGCTTTTAAATTACCAACACCAGAAAGTCATCATTAACAAAGAGCTTTGTCAACTAAGTTACTATGTGAAAATAATCTCCTTAATGAGAAAGACCCCGAACATTAAATAGACCAATTAACTGGAAAAAGAGTTTCAACAATCAGGAGAACACAGGAGGAAATGCTCTGTTTTTCTGGAATGGCATTTTGGTAGACTCGCTTGGAAACCATTCTAAAGATGTCACACATTTAGAATAAATTATCAGCATTCTCCTGTTTTTGTTAATCCAGTGAAAATAATAAAAGATGTAGGGAATAAAAGTAACAAAATAAAATGGCTGTAAATAAGAATAAGAGAATGGTAATGAAAAAAACGTTTGAGCAGTTTTACCTGTTTTTCAAATAGGTAACCATGCTATACATGAAACATGAAAATTCAGTCTGTAGAGCACAACCATAATGCAGCTTATGGAAACCAGTCTTACAACTTTAAAATGCTGCAGTCAGGGGTTGAAAAGTTAGGGAATGATCACACCCAAGTAGGAGACTCAGAATAGGCTTTCAGAGAACACAGTGTGTTGAGATGAGCCTTACAAATGGACAGGGGTTCAATGGATGTCAATGGTAAAGGAAGCATTTTCTGGGTGAGGGAAATGTGGAAGGCAAAGCAAGAGAAAACTGTCTAGTGAGGAGTGCAGTCTGGTCTTGAATACCAAACATCTGAATTTTTTACTTTTTAATCAATGGAAAGTCACTACAGGCTTTTGAGCAGATAGTGTATAATCTTCATTTTCATAAGAAAACCTGCTAGCAGAAGATATCTGAACAGGAAGAACAGTGAGATTATGGTTGTAGTCATCTAAAAAGCAATGAAGATCTGAACCAGGATGGTGGCAGCAGGAAGTGAAATGAGGCAAGTTTAAGGAGTAAAGAGAAAGGCCTAACCACTGGCATCTTGCAGAAGAGGCTTCTTAGGCTGGGTAGGAGTGTGAATACTCTGTATACTTTAAGAGGCATATACTGGTTTTAATCAGAACTGTTTTAAAAACTATTTGATTCACTGAAGCCAATACATTATCCATGGGAAGTCATGACAAAATGACCGAAGTTCAGAATCTGCATTAAATAAAACAAAGTATTCAAAAAAAAAAAAAAAACAGCAGTTAACAGTTTTTAGTGCTTCGTGCTAGGAAGTATCCTGAGCACTAGTGCCTACTAGTTTAAGTCTCACAAACTTATGAGGCAGATCTGCCGTTAGTATACATATCAGAAAAATGAGGCCCAGTTAAGATTTGAAAACTTGCTCAAGACAGAAATTAACTGACCTAGACCTGTCATCAAGCAGCCTGCACTCTTAATCACTATAAACTTAGCAAAATCACCACTGAAACTAAAGGTACAACAGTCTGATAGTCTGAAAGCACGTGAACACCCAGGGCATGCCTACACTGGTGATTCATGGAGCAGCTCAAATGTAACATGAAGACTCTCCAATGGACTGTCCTTGATAAAATCTCTCTCTCAATTTGTTCAGCGTGATTAATGCAAACCTTAACTAATGAATGCAAGATTGTAAGACAAGACTAAAATTAGGAGCACTAGAAACAAACCAGAGTGTGTGTGCTCAAGACAATGACTGATGTTTAATTCTCACTCATAGGGAAAAAAGGTGAATAATACATCTGTCTGATTTCTGCTCAGACCTACTTTGGAAACTCACAAGAATAACCACTTCTGAGGATCAAGGAAATTGGGGAAAAGGAAATATTTGCTATATATATATATACATATATACCTATTTATGTATGTATGTGTATATATATGTACACACACACCAAAGATTGTTAAATTATGTTAATTCATTTAATCCAAACAACCCAGAGCAGAAATATTATCTCAATGTATGATGAAGATTAAACCTAAACTCAGCCATTTCAGAACTTACCATTTTCTTTGCTCTCATAGACATATTTTATTTCTATATACATTTTTTAAAAATTTACATGTATTTCTTATTTGTCTTAATTAATATTTGTTCATTAAAAAGTGCAAGTACGTGAGGAGTGAAGCTCCCTAACAGGTTTAAGAATCTATTTGTTATAAAGAGAAATACACTGCTTGAGCAAGTTTATTTAACTTGATACTATAATTATTTTGGCAAATTCATTGTGCAACTTGATTTCCACAGCTGTTATGTGTGGGTAGACTGGCCTTCCATTATGTAAAAGCATCAAATTGAGGAAGATGGTTTCCACATACACAGCACATTTTACGCTGCCACATTAGTTCATAAAGCACAAGTATGCAGGCTTAATCCCAGACCAAACTGCATATAGTCTCCTGCTAATCCTACAACATGAAAAGTCTCAGGTAAATTATAGGATTCTTAAGAGAACATTAAAAAAAATTCCCATTTTAAGGGATCAGATTTTCAAACACAGAGCCTTTCATATACAGATAGCACTAAGTTACTTCTGATTATATTCTGAACAAGTATAGACAATGTTTATATTGTCCAAAATGATGGAATCACCTTACAAAGGAAACTTTAATAAACAGAACAAAGGAAAAATTTTGCCTCAGTGAGAAATGCAAAACAATGTTCTATTCTAATTATTCTCATGTAATGTTCCTCAGAAAGCATGGGGGGGGGGTGAGACAAAACAAAACGCAAAATTCTATTAAAACTGTTTAATTTTATATTTTTCTCACCCCGAAAGAGTTCAACCTAAACTTTTAAAAGATTAAAAGCAACCAGAAATAAACAGTGGTAGGCAATGACAGACAATTGCAAGAATAAAAAATTTCAACTCTGCTTCTCTGAGAATCCTACAAACAAAAGAACATTTTCAGCATTTAAACAAAAAACTTCACTGGAAACAGCTCAGTTCCTATGCAATTTGTTTTAGATAGGCACAATTCCAGATGGATACACCGGTGTGTTGCCACACCCCAAGGTTTACTCACACATAGATTCACTTTTCAGGCTATGTAATGAGTATATTCATTCTTTACGTATTTAAAGTGTTAAGCAAATGATAAAACTGCTTACTGAAGAAAAAACTAGGACTCTCCAAAGGTTGCCATACCACTTATGTTTTTAAAAAGAGGTGGAATCAAAAAACCCAACAGTTACCTATGGTTGTATGATGAAATACTGATCCTTACTTCCTTACTATCTTCTACATCAAGAAAACCATTCATCATTAGATCGTATGACACAACCCAAGCGAGGCTGATAGCACAAGTACTGGGAAATCTGTTTCCTTCTCATATGCTTATTACAGCAAAATGTCATGTACAAACTATGCAGCCTTGGGCAAATCACTTAACTCTTCTCTAGGCCTCCATTTCCTCATTTGTAAATGGGACTAAAAACAGGACGAGTACCTACACCTAAAAGGATCTGACAGAAGATGAAAAATAAGAGCATATAAAGTGCCTAGCAGCTCACTTTAACTTAGCTTAGTTTCAGTTAGGCGGCAGCAGTTGTGTGATGCTGCTTTTCAAGCTTTCTCATTTGTTCCACTTCAAATCTTAACCAAAGAAGTACTTATTTTTTTCTTTATTAAAAATACACTTTGGTCTAATCAGTGTAGATATTATTATATTTTCTTTTAACAATCCCTGTGACTCATTTCTTGCTCTTGTGTTTCTCCTAGCTTCATGCCTCTGTATTCACTTAAAATTATCTCAGTGTTCACCTAAAAATAAGATACCAGAGTTGAAAACCTGTCAGCTTTAAATTTGTTCATCTTTTTACTGAAATAAGAAATTCAGCAAAAAGGCTAATGCTGAGTCAAAGGTTGGTGACTTTGAATGCTACTTTCAGATCCTAATTCTTCCATTCCAAAAATAAACTTAGCACTTCAAAAAAATATTTTGTCAATTTAGTACCACTCAACATTAACCTAACTCTCCCATCTAATGTGAACTAAAACTACTAAAAAGGAAAATGAAAAAGGTGTTACATCAACTCCATTTCTTGTACAACATTCCTACTGTAAAGAATTCAAATTATAATGTTCATTTTTAGAAAACAGCAAAAGTCCAAGGAGCAACAGACTAACCAACAGTTCTGATGGTGCCTTTAAGAAAAAGAAAGAAAGTTTTTTGTTTTTTTTTAATTAAGGAAGTATCAACTTTAGGTGAACTTTCTGAAGCGAGTGGACACAGTCAACCAATTAGATTTTGCTTTACTCTATTTCAAGTGAAAAAGAGACACATTTGTGCGCAAAAGCCTCTTCTTTAATTAGAGTCACTCTTGCTGTGCATATTCCAAATTCGGTATGCAAGCTGTGTAGACAGCTGTGCCTCATTCCTCTATCAAACTTGAAAGGAAATAAGTACATCAGGGTTTTTCCTTTCTAAAGGTCAAACTGCTCTCAGCTATGAGCTTATCCAGTTCCTGAGAAAGAAGAGGAGTAGAATTGGACAGAGCTTAATTAAGGAATATTTCAGAGGATTAAAAAGTACCCTTGTCCTTCTCACTGCTCTCAGCCATCTCTCTCCTTATGCTATGCTCCTGCTGTTCTCATCACTCCTTTCAAACTCGATCTAAGCAATTCTGTGTTAAGTGATACAATTTCAATTCTATCTATGCCTACATAATTTTTAGCAACAAGTACACTCTCTCTCTGTAAGTCTCCACTGTTCAAATTATTTAACAGAATAAACGTTTTCTCTTCAAGTGCTGTTTTACTAGCAAAAGTTTTAATCTATGACACTGCTGAACACTGCTGGGTTTAATCCAAATCTTAAGACACAAATTTTCATTACTCTAAGGTATCTAAATGTCTTATTTCAAGAATTATATTAGAGACAGAAAATACATAATATACAGAAGACAAAGTTAGGGATTTGACCATTTGACTAAATCCAATACATACAACAACAACAAAACAAGAAAATACTCAAAATGAAAGTTAATAGTCCTAAAGTTTGAGCTCTATCTTAGGGTATCAAAAAGACCAAATGAGCTTTTTTAGGGTTTATGCAACTCACTTCTATATCTCAATTTTGTAGAAACACAGTATCTAAGAGACTGCATTTTCATCACTATTATCTTTTATGACACTACTCCCTACTGTTTGAGATCAAAAATACTCCAAGGATAAAATATAGTCAGGTTAGAAAAATCCCCAAATATATTCACACTCAAAAAGTACATAATCCATTAATTACAGGTAATAGTTGCATGTAAAGACAATAACTAAGAAAACTTTTGATAGAGGTTAGAGATTCAAAAAACTCACCACCCAGATGGAAGGTCCCAAGTTCTAATAGAGCAATCCATTGAAGCACTTATTAACCAACGACCATCAGGACTGAAAGCCTTTAAATTAAAAAAAAAAACCAAATATAATATATATGTCTGTATATATGTGTATGTATGTATGTATGTTTGGACCTATATATTTAATAGCTTAAAGAATACAAGAAATGAAAAACTAACACAGGTTGCATTAAAAAAAACTGATTGAGTAAAATTTAGACTACCTTATCTTACGTAAAAGAAAATACCATTTCTGATATACCACTGAGAACATTCAATTAGAAATATTTTGCTAGCCTAATTTCAGCTAAGTATCTGTGAAAGAAACAAAAGCTATATTTCCTTGAAAAGACTCTATGAATTAGACTGGCTTTCTAAGAATCCAAAATGATTAAAACAAGAATGCAAAGTCTCTTAAAATAGTGAAGTTAATCATATTTTCAATATAAATTTAAATAATAAACTACTTATGCCTTACAAGCTGCTCATAAACTACTGTACACTACTTATAAAGAACTTATATCTTTTCTATTGATAAAAACTGAAAAATAATAGCTCTCGTTGCTTGTAACATGTGACTCTTAAGTAAGGCCAAATGTGAAAGATCCAAAAGGAAAAACTTCAAGATTTATAATGGTAGTAAAATTGTTCATCCAAAATCTAAACACACCATAAGGATTATAACCATCCATATTAGCAAATAATACTGGGATAAATGAACTCAATTTTGTCATCAGGCTATGGTGATACTGTGGAAATTCAAATCTTAAGGTACAGAGAGTACAATTTATAGGATAGTGCAGATAAGAATGGAAAATTACTCTGGTAGGTAAAGTCATGTTATAAACGCTCACAGATTTACTTGAACAGGAGTAATTTGTTACTAACTAGGAGAAACTCCAGACACACAACCTGAAAGTAAAGTTTAAAAAGGAAAGAAATAGGAGGAGCAAGTTGGCACTGACAGATGTTTTCAAAAATGTTATTTCATCAAAATTACTCCACTCCCACCCCCATTCCTATAGAAGCTGTCACAACAAATTCTGTTGCTGGGTAGTTCTGCCTACCTCCTATGTGCAGAACAACAGATTTTTGACTATCCCCCCCAACCCCTATTTTTAAGGAAATGGGTAAACACTGCAAACCCAGACTTTTGATGTGAGAACTGATAAGTAAATGTAGCTGTTGGGAGTGCTACTAACTAGTTAGGACTTTATTTTTTTAATCTGTTTTCAAGTAAATCAAGGTATCTGCAATTGATGCAAATAACAATATATACTTAAAATATTCTCAACATATACTTTTTAAACTAGAGTACTTCTTACCATATTTCCCACTATAAGAACACAATAGTAAACTAAAACATACTTTTACTAATTAAATACTTTTGATGTTAAGATATATTAGAAATAATATTAAACTAGAATAAACTAGGTATCAGATATTCCAGGTCTCCTACCATTAATTCACTATGCATGTAGAAAAACAGAAATGAATTCTCTCAGCCTAGTTTAATATTAAGTCAAAAATGATATACTTATGTTTCAATGAATCATTCATTCTCTAAAGTATATTTGACCTTGTTTAGAGTTTAAGAGAGAAAAATGAACTCTGGGATTTATACTTTAATCTAATGGGATTAACTTCCTGAGAAATATTAAACTTCTTTTAATTCTACATTTTCTTTAAAAGTCTCTTCTTAGAAAATTAGCCTCCAAGTTATTTATTTTGAACATCTCCTCATAGGATGAGTTTAATGCTATTAAAAAAATAAGTTTCAATTATTTGAACATTTTTAGCATAAACAGAAAAAAGAAAGGAATCAAGTTTTGTTTAAACATTTAAAGTTTGTTTTACCATGTCATTTATTTGACCTTGGTGTCCAGAAAACTCTCTGACAATCTTCCTAGTTTCTATGTCCAAAACACTAATGGAGAAGTCATCCAAGGCAAGTCCCAGAATGCCACTAGCAAGATAAATGCACCAGTTTTAATAAACAAGCAAACAAATAAAAAAACCTTGAACTAAAATCTCACAGTCATTTAAATTTTATTAATGAAGTATAACTTTGAGGGAAATTAAGCAAAATGCTATTCTTTTCTATGAAAAGTCTGGTTTCCCCACTTGGTAAATTATGTACAGTTAACCACTGAACATGAGGATTAGGGCACTGAGGCCTCTGTGCAGTCAAAAATCTGTGTATACCTTTACAGTTGGCCTTCCATGTCCATGGTTCTGCATCTGCAGATTCAGCCAACTGCAGATCATGTGGTGCTAAAGTGAGTGTTTAGTGAAAGAAATTTGTCTATAAGTGGACCTGCACAGTTCAAACCTGTGTTGTTCAGGGTTTCAATTTTGTTTATTTAAATTAAGAACTTTTACCAAAAACATCAAGAAGAAAGTCCATTGTCATCAAAAGAAAAACTTTACCTGTCTCTATGTAGCAGCATCATATTTGGAGATGAATCAAGGCTCACAGAATGAATTAAAACTTTGTTTTTAAAGTTCCAGAACTTGAGTAATCCTTCACTACCAGTTGTAATTGTCAACTGGTTTAGTCCATCCACTGCAACACCTCTAACAGATCCTTTATGGGCTTTAAAGCATATGTGAAAGGAAAAAACAGTAAGAACTGGCATTTCCTCTCTGAAAACTACACAAAAAGTGATTCCTTTATTTAAGTATCTAAGTTCCCACTATTAAACTCTCCTGAAGTTTTTAAATTAATCTGGATTTTAGGGGGCAGAGGGAAGGTTATTACAATGCTTCAGTAATAAGAAAATCTATCAGATTGGTGCCATGTAGGTTTCAACAAAAACGTTAATTTCTGTAACATCCACTTTCCCCTAATACAACTATGACTTCATTCTGTTTGAATAGTTCAACATGGTGATTATAATAGGTATAGTGGCAGTATCTGCCACATAGGGGTGACCATAACCCATCTACAAGTTTAGCAAAATGGCAAGCACACAAGAATTTAATAAATGCCAGCAACTGTTATTAGCCTTATATCTATCTGTATTACTTTTTTAAAAAATAAGGAAAAAAAATTCAATACCTTGATCCTTGCCAAATCTTCCTCGATGTATACCAGACTGCATGTTATATACATCTACAGTTCCTGATGAGAGACCAATTACAGCAAAGTTTCCACAAGAAGTTATATCCACGGCCTTAGGGAAAAAAAATTTAAACACAAAGGACACAAAAAATAGCTAACATTTTTACCGTACTTTATGCCTTGCAAAGTATTTTTTTAATCTACTAATTACATCATTTTCCAAAAGAGCACAATAAACAAACTGCTTCATTAATTTTCTTAAACATAATGTAATTATATTTGGGTATCTAAGAAACAGCTGCTTGATTCTATCTCCATTCTCTAAGTATACAGAAATTATTACCCAAGACAACAGAACATAATCAAAGTTAACTCAACTGAAACTTACAAAGCTGGAAGAATGGTATAACAGCTGGCCTTCAATTTTTAATTTACTCATGACAATGCTAAAGTCAAAGCATTCCATTGCCTAATTTCTCTTTCCCTTACTTTTGTAATTGCTTCTATAGCTGACATAAACCTAAAAACATATTAGTTAGGATATCTGATGAAAAAGCCCAAAATATTTTAATTATGACATATTAGGAAGGAAATACATAAGATATTACATGAAAAATATTTAGTTTATAAGCCATTTCTGTAAAATAAACTCGTATTTTGATACTTAACATAGCAATATTGTATTAAAAAGATGTGTTTTCTTCTGTTAAAAACATGAGGCTGACTATGTAGTAGGCCATGGCCAGAGAAATCCTTCACTGCTACTGTCAGATGTCACCCACCAAAGAGTTAATTCAAAAGACTGTTGAATTTATGCCTAATGAAATAGATGAATTCTAAAATCTACAAGAAATTATTTAATAGAGGCTATTTAACTGTGCAAAGCAGCTTAAAGCTGACACACCACTGAGTCAAGACATATTTAAATAGAATTCACATGTAAGTGTGCTCTACTTACATATATTTTTTAGATAATCATAGCTTATTTCTTACAAAGCATTCTATCTTCCTAAACAGAAAACAAACATAATTTTAGCTATTTTGAATAGTTCATAAAAGTTTACACTATGTTATATACACTCATGCTTTTAGGGACTAATGAAGATACTAGGCTACAACCAACAAATAGTAAAGGCCCCCAATGGCCCTGCTATACAAGAGTTCCCACTTATCTGCAGGGGATATGTTCCAAGACAACCAATAGATGTCACAAACCATGGGTAGCACACCAAACCCTAAACACACTATGCTTTTTCCTAAACTAATGTGTAGGTAGTGTATACAGTATGGGCCCATTAGATAAAAGGATGACTCATGACAGAGTGGGACAGTGTGAGATTTCACCACACTACTCAAATGGCATGTAACTTAAAACTTAGAGACTGTTTATTTCTGAAATTTTTCTACTTAATATTTTCAGATTCAGCTTGACTACGGATAACTGAAGCTGTGGAAAGGGAGGACTACTTTACTTTTTAGAATTTAAATTTATTTTAATAGGGTTTATTG